ATTAAATTATTTATTGCACTTTTTCTTCATCCTAGCGAAAACTGTTTGAAACAAAAGTTGTATCTCTAATCATCAGCTACTCTTTAACAGCATCTCCTCAATAATAATAATACACTAAATCTATAATCGATGGATCTTTTGCAAAAATCCTCATCAATTGATATCAAAAGTACCTCTCGTCGTTCAACTACTAAAATCATGGATCCCTCATTGATTTAAATATCCGATACACAGTAAATATTTTCTAAATCAAAAATCGTTTCTGAAAAACTACTGCAACTCTCAACAAAAATCTCATAACTTGCATATAAGTAACAGTAATTGTCCGGAGGGTATAAAGAGCGGTTCGTTACTGAGATTGCTTACTAATTAACTGTAAAACAGATGGAAATAAGGACGGGTCGGGGTAGCTTAAAAAAAAAATTAACGAGCATGAACGTAGACAAGAATAAATAGCGGTGGGCTCGTTAGAAATTTGTGGAAAAGTGCTGCGGGTGAATTGGAACGGATGAAAGGAGCCCGTAGACCGCGAATCGTTCCTGAAGAGATTGAAAAAAGAGAACATAAATAAACATGCATAAAGAAGCGAACTCAGGGAGGAGGAGAGCGGTTGGATTAAATGCCAAAGAGAGGCGAGCGGGGGAGAAGAGTTTAAGGAATCGTTCTTCCGTCGAAGAAATTTTTCCCTGTGATCGTCTCGACCTCTTTCACCGCAGGATATCCTCAATTGTAACCGAGTTAGTCGGGGGGGCACCGGTCGGGCAATTGTTTATCGCGTCTCGAGCCATTGGTTTGCTTAATTGCGCGTTCATTTCACGGTGAAACTTTTATGTAATATCTCAGCTCAGGCTGTGATTAATCAATAGCTCAAGCAAGTTGAAGGAAATTCTCATCTTAAAACGTGCAAATAATTATTATCAATGTTTGGGAATAATTACAATTAATTTTGACTCGTTCTATGAATTCTTTCAGGTCCGAGTTCTAATGGCTCGAAGGACAGAGAGGGACAATAACAGGATGATGATTATGACGTTCAAACGATAATCCGCTACGCTTGCTTCCTGTTTGGTCAAAGGAGGCCGAGTGATCTTGATCGTGAATGCTACTTCCAGTCGATTACGACACAGCAGTGGACTTGTAACGATGATAGGTACAGAAAAATTATTATAAATAGAGGAGATGGAATTCTGTTTGCACGCTGGTTCACTGATCTCGTTGGAAACTCGAATAGGTCGACCCGTGAGTCACACTCTTTCGCCGAAAATCAATGATTCGAACGCGACACTTGCCAATTTTACGCGAGCCCTCAATAATCTCCTTAACAAAGCTCGTTAATAGAATATCATCAATACAGAAAAAAGAGGAGAGACCATGGGAGGAACTTGGATTCTCTGAGAACTTCCCTAGATTTAAATTCGTCGCCTTTTATTTTTATAAAACCGAACGTCGTGTGAGATTTGAAAGAAGAAGAAGAAGAAGAAGGAGAAGAAGGTTCGAACGGGAAGAAGGAATGGCGACTTACCTGTGAGCTCTCACATGAGAACGTGGTATCTTGTTGGATCTAGACGTCCCCCGGTCTCCGGACCGTCGAACGAGTCATAGAAGCTGGAAAGGAACGAAGACGGGGCAACGACACGCTCGGCGTACGTACGCTCGCGTACGTACGTGAGAAGAGATGCGCGACGGGAGGGTGCCAGGCGTACGACTGAATCTACGCTCTCTCCAGCGTCCCGTACGCTCGGCCGATGGGTCGTGCGCGCTGGACCGCCGGAGGGTCGTGCCGCAGACGAGGAGCGAGCAGGACGGAAGCTGTGCGTTGCCAGGTAGGGGAACCGGGAAAACGGACCGAGAGAAGGGCTGCAATCGGGAGATGAAACGGAACGGAGAGGGTGCAGAACGAGATGCAAGATGTAGGGGTGGAGCGTCGATGGAAGGGATGAAGGATCGAACGGAGAGGACGCGAGCTACAGAGAAATAGGAATAACAATTTCTTAATAAAATACTGATCAATGAACAGCGTACGAGAGTTATTAATAAAAAAACGTACGAACGGGAGTAATTGTAAGAGGAAACGCGAGGAGGTTCGAACGGGAATAAAGGAAAAACCGCGGTGACAGAAAACCTATGAAACCGTGTAGACAGGTGGAAAGAGGGAGGATGAACGATGATACGAACGGTGACGTCGATGGAAACGTACAAGCGGAAAAAGGTTGCTGGGAATAGAAATCTCACAGAAGCCAATGGCCGACGAGAGACGAACGTGTCGGAATTAAAATAACGTTTGCCGATCCTGTGAAAGAGTCTCTTCTTCGCCTCGGGTTCTATGCAAAATTTCTCTTATTACTCGTACCTCCGGTTTTCTTTTCTCAAACCGTCTCTGATCTCTCATTTTATTTTACTCTTCACAGCCACAGCTTCTTCTTCTTCTTTCTCTATCTCTTTAATCTCTTGTTCGTCGCGCACCATTCCTGCTTTTACTAACGCCCCGTTTAATTCGTTCCTCTTCTTACCTCTTCGCATTCGAACTTTTCTGGGTTACGTATGCTCGCTACTCTTCGTCTTCCCGACTATTATAAATGCAGTTTAAATTAAATCTGTTATTAATCGTATGAATTAATTATCCTGCACCGTTTCATGTATCGTTTTGCTAAAAGACAGAACAAAGTCTGGGGCGAAACGTTAGGCTGCATGCAAAAAGGGAATGGGAAAGTAAACGACAAAGGGAGAGATCAAGGGAAAACGGAGTTCAAACAACGGTCGAAATATCTAAAAAAGTATTCATGTTCTATTGTAAAGAAATGAGATACCGCGTTTATGATCGTTTAATCCATTGTAAATTTTTAATAAAATACAATTTTTTTGAGCAGAACAACGTGTGAGCTAACGCGATGAGGAACAAAGACGAGGAGGAGGAAACAGAGACACTGGGCTAGGGACCCACGGAGAGGGTGATGAAAGGGAAGGTCGGGGGAGGTTACGGACAGAGAGGGGTTGCTTGTACGAGCGGAAAGATGAAAGCGCCTAGTCCCGGATGCAACTTGCCGTTGAAGAGCTGCAACTAGATTCCAAACGGATTTTTCGAGAACAGAACAAACAGCGTCGGCGTCGAGTCAAAATCGGATTCACGGACCTTTATAAACGCTGTGAATGCCCTTTCAGGTATGATAAATAATAGCAGCGATAGTATGATAAATAATTGCCTCGAATCTTCGATTGATGAATCGAAGAAACGAGATTCGGAAGGAATAAAGTAAAAATTGAAAGGGGGCGAAGATGTTCAAGGGAAAGAGAGAGGAATGCAAGCGCGGGGGCAGTATTGATCTGTTCGCGCAAACTCCTGACTCTTACCAGCAGAATCGTGGCTCTCCTACCCAATGCCTGCCTTTACCCCTCAAGTTCCCGGCCCGCCGACGCCGAAAGTGCTCCACTGGCATCGATTATGACCCTGGTCATCGTCCTCCACGGAACACACAAGTCTCGAGTGATCTTGATCCGCGTCGATTGAACGTTTCACACGAGCCGACCAGCGCAAACGGTGATCCAGTTCGATCCGTCCAGACGTATCCCCCTTGACGTCGAATTAAAATTAGTTTAGAAAATATGTAAAATCAGATTCATTCAAAATTTATTCGTTAGAGAATACACGCTTTGTTTAATTTTTATTGAACTTTCGGTCTAGTTGTACCTCAGGTAATGCACGGTAGATCAGAGACGATGTATCATGACACGGTTTATTAGCAGCCGAGGGGGATAAGTCTGTGGGGATACGTTTGTCAGACGAACACGTTGCTCAACGGTTGATTTAATGGGACGTGTGAGTGTCGTACGGAATATTCCATTTCGCTGCTTCCTGCAAATCTCCACGGCCTCAAAATCATTTCTCACTATCAAACAACAAACTAAACGTCTCAATTTCATATTCCCCTTCTTTTCTATAATTTTATATTTAAGCGTGAATAGAAATTGGGTCGTTTACTACGACTTCTTTTAATATGTACGATAAATCGAGTCTTGTTGAAATAGAAATGTCAGTCAGTGAGCGCGCGCTTTGTACTAATTCTCTCGTCCACGAAGAGGGGTCTGAATTGAATCCGTTCGCGAATATCACTCCTTATTATTAGACCGCTCGTTCACCAAATAGTTTAATCTCCTCCACGTGGGGCTACCAATTTTTTCCTCTGAGTTCTCTCGCTTTGTAATTCGATTCTGAGATATTCGGTAGTCGCTTTATCCTGCAGAGATCTCTGGCAAATTCTTTAAAACGTGTTTGACTAGTACAAACGATATTGTTCAAGTTTATTGATCCTTCGGGAGTAATTCTGATTAAACGTTTATTAAAATTCTGCCATGGATCTGGTTTCCCAGATTCGACATTTAATTGGTGCCAGCTTGGTTTAAAATTAACGAGCTTTTTTTCGTTGCAGCCAGCGGAGAGCCAATTAAATACTGATGGGAGATCGAGCAGGAACAAGTGCCGGGAGATCCGTGGAAAATGTTGCACCGAGCGATCATCCAGGGATGAGTGGAGAGAGAAATGAAACCGAGAAATTCGAGAGGTTTGTCGTCGTAACAGTTTTTATTGGTCTCGATTATAAAATGTGTCACAAAAAATGTTTAACAAACAAATCTATAGGGACAGCTGGACTAGCGATCACACTTTTTATACAGTTTTGAAAAGATCAGAAAATTACAACGACCGTCTCGCAATGATTAGAACATTTATGACTAATTTAAAAAGAAAAAGTTCAAGCTAATTATTTTTGACAAAGACTTTACTTGTTAAAATTACTGTCGAATCATTTTTTAGACCTTCGATTATTCCGAACGAAATAGAAGTCTCTGGTGAGCGTAGACGAGAACGTGGGCATTTGTTTCTTCTGCTTATCCGTATTGTAATTTAACGCAACTGTGCGCGAAGTTGTCGTCAGTATTTTCAACAGATCGTACTCTTTCCAATGGCTGTTGATCACTTCGCACAGACTCTGAATGTACCACGTGCCCTTGTCTGGCATCCGGTGCGCGGAATGCTCTATAAAAAGTGAATTCGATTTAATTAACAAACTTGGTGAAAAAATCATTTTTCCGAACTCGAAACGAATCATTATTTTCCAATGAATCGCGTGAATAGTATCTGTTCGTTCATTTACTGTCTGTCGTGCCATAGGCGAATAAGAAATCGGCTCTAGTAGGAATCGCATAAAAAATAGCGGCCGCGGAATCGACCTCGTACTTAACCAGCGTCCCATCATCCTCCTTGTTTCCTCTGCAAGCCTGTGAAGTAAACCCTCGTTCACTAATTAACACGATCTTGTTAATAGACTCTTAAAGAAGTTCTGTAATCTGTATTTCAACGTTACGACGCTTTTAAATTTCCCATTGACTTTACATTGAATTGTAAGTCGTGCTCGAACTTCTGCTTTACCTGTACGAAAAATAGTTTCGGTTTGCCTACTAATGTTCTACATTTTAGAAACGGTTCCCAGATTTCTGAGAAACAGTAAGACGTGTCCTTCGCCTCTATCCTTTCCGCGGTACTCCCGTGAGACAATATGAAAATGCAAATACAATTTGCGTCTGTGTAATCCTCCGTGCATACTAAAAATCAAATCATTTTCATCAGAGTTTTGTGAACAAGACTAGATTCTTGAGTTTTCTGTAAAATGATTGTGTCAGTTTCCACATTCCGTCACTGCTATTGATATTCGTATCTCTTCATACACGACGTTAAGTTACACAATATTAAAAACTATATTTCTTTCATAAAACTGTCCGATCTATCAGTAAGATTTTAATAATTATAAGTATTGATCTCGTGCATACGTCTTTCTATCTTTTTCGACACTGTGGAGCGCTTCAAGTCATTGTGGACGACCATCTCGAAACCTAAAGTCTTGCCGAAAACCTGTTTTATTTTGTCCACGTCGTACTCAGTCCCTTTCCTCGTTTTAATATTGCAGAATGTTTCGTGATTAAATATCACGCATTTCCCACGCTTTTTCTCCTTCATCAAGTACACCGGCGATTCCTTCAGCATGGAGATCTTGCTGAAAAATATGATTAGAGTTCGCGATACCGGGAGCCTGCCTTGTACCCCTCGTCCTTGGCAAAAAGTTCTTGGCCAGTTTCGCTCGATACCGTCTAAGAATTCAGTAAATCATCGGTATCGATGCATCTGTTGAAAAAATTACTTACATGATTTTATCGTCTTTTGGATACGTTCTTGATTCCTTCAAGGTTTCAGTGTTCTCACTCTCACTCTCACTCTCACTCGTCACTGATTTGTCCGAGATCGTGCTCGTGGAACGTAAAACCGAAGCGTTCGCTTGCGTTTCATTGGAAATCTAAAAATCGTCGATTTTAATCAGTGTTATTATTTTTAGGTATCTAACGTTAATTCGGCGTGAACCTCCGTCCTAGAGATCTTCCTTGAAACGTCGGGCGACTGCAGATCATTGTCAACGATGCTATTCAAATTTGTCTTCTGCCTCTTGTCCGCTTTGCCGCAGCGCCTGGACGACTTCTTGTTCCGACTCTTCTGAAAACACTTCTGACACTTCTTATCACCGCACTGGACGCATTATCGGATAGATGCACGATAACCAAATAGACAGATTTTTATGACACACTGTATCTTGGAATCCTCCGACTCGTGACATCGATACGACACAGAAAGTTTGTTCGTCTTTATGCGAGACGGTTCGACGACGAGCAATGATCAATGAAGGGCCATATAAAAAATTGATGCAGCTTTGGAGAGACAAAAGCGAGAATAGAACAACCGTCTCGTAATGGACTGGTTTTTAGGTACGTACACAGAGAGTACCTCACTATATCAGAGACAATGTGCGATATGCGAATGATCAACGTACAATAAGCATTATATGTTTATTACGATGAATACAATAAGGGACGAGTCATCGGTACATAAAGGCACGCGTCTTCTCATATTCTGATAACTCATTTCTCGTATGCACTTGCGTATACAATCGTCCAATCTGTTCCTCGTTTACCAATCCCGATCACATATTTCTACGTTGTTAGAACTTTACCCTTACAAAACGTGGATAGAATTCTGTCTTAAATTCATTTATAATCGCTGCTTCTTTCTGGCGTATACGATGCTCCGATCAGTGTCTCATTTACGTCGTTGAGAATTTGAATAGAGTCTTAGTCTTCAGTCTTTAAAGTCATGCAGAACTATAAGATTAGATCTTGCTTTTAATTAACATGCCTCACGATAAAGTGATAGTTTATCATGAGCGATCAGTCAGATTTGCAATTAATGTTTCTCACTCTCACTCTCACTCTCACTCGTCACTGATTTGTCCGAGATCGTGCTCGTGGAACGTAAAACCGAAGCGTTCGCTTGCGTTTCATTGGAAATCTAAAAATCGTCGATTTTAATCAGTGTTATTATTTTTAGGTATCTAACGTTAATTCGGCGTGAACCTCCGTCCTAGAGATCTTCCTTGAAACGTCGGGCGACTGCAGATCATTGTCAACGATGCTATTCAAATTTGTCTTCTGCCTCTTGTCCGCTTTGCCGCAGCGCCTGGACGACTTCTTGTTCCGACTCTTCTGAAAACACTTCTGACACTTCTTATCACCGCACTGGACGCATTATCGGATAGATGCACGATAACCAAATAGACAGATTTTTATGACACACTGTATCTTGGAATCCTCCGACTCGTGACATCGATACGACACAGAAAGTTTGTTCGTCTTTATGCGAGACGGTTCGACGACGAGCAATGATCAATGAAGGGCCATATAAAAAATTGATGCAGCTTTGGAGAGACAAAAGCGAGAATAGAACAACCGTCTCGTAATGGACTGGTTTTTAGGTACGTACACAGAGAGTACCTCACTATATCAGAGACAATGTGCGATATGCGAATGATCAACGTACAATAAGCATTATATGTTTATTACGATGAATACAATAAGGGACGAGTCATCGGTACATAAAGGCACGCGTCTTCTCATATTCTGATAACTCATTTCTCGTATGCACTTGCGTATACAATCGTCCAATCTGTTCCTCGTTTACCAATCCCGATCACATATTTCTACGTTGTTAGAACTTTACCCTTACAAAACGTGGATAGAATTCTGTCTTAAATTCATTTATAATCGCTGCTTCTTTCTGGCGTATACGATGCTCCGATCAGTGTCTCATTTACGTCGTTGAGAATTTGAATAGAGTCTTAGTCTTCAGTCTTTAAAGTCATGCAGAACTATAAGATTAGATCTTGCTTTTAATTAACATGCCTCACGATAAAGTGATAGTTTATCATGAGCGATCAGTCAGATTTGCAATTAATGTTACTGTAATTTGCTCTGCATTCCCCTTATCTCGTCCGATACGTTTAGAATCAATGCGTGTATCCTAATCCTCTTCTATCTATTTCATTACAGCTCCAATATCTTCACCTCCAATCCAGAGATTAATATTCTCGTAGTTAATTCTTTGACCACGTTTCTTGATTATTATTAGACTGCTGATTTTTATGCAAAATAGAACTTTTCAATTGATCTTTGTCACTCTTTACATTGATTTAAATAATTCTAATTCTAGTCAAATCCACTTTATCGTCGTTTCTCTATTAAATCCATTTTCTATATTCTTTACAGATCGAGCTTCTCTATGAATGCTAAAAATTCGCAGTCTGTCAGTAATAATGCAGATTACTTCTAACAATACGAGAGTTCATTATTCCTCCTAAAATTCCTACCGTATGTCTCTACAATTATTTGAAATATCTCACCTGCTGGTTCTATTACCACAATCGCAACGTGCATATCATAAGTTCGCCTCGATTTAACAAATTGGTTGAACACTGACAAGCATGCTTCGACGTCTGTCACTGTGTACTCACGTATACAACAGTTTCCCGATGTACGACACGGTTCTTTTTTAAAATGAACTTCGACTCGGTCACGTTACCTTGTTCCCACGATCGTTAAACAAATTCTCCTGGATCCGATTTCTCCATCCCTTGATCATATCCCCTAATAAGTAGGATATGATCAACAAAGAGAACAGAAGGAACACCAGACAGAACATGGTTCACTCTCGGACGCACCGCTAATCTTCGACTTCCCGGGTTGAAATACCTGAAGGGTCTTTTATATTCTGCGGACGTTAGCGTTATCAACGAATCTTGATAATATCGATCAATCGTGAAAAGTGACTAAGAAAAGATGATATGGAGAAGAAAATTAAAGGTGAATAAGAAGATTTTCCGAATTCCTTTCAAACTATCTCATTATTGATTAAACGTTAAGAGATATAGAAGAATTAATAATGAACATTGCTTAAGTATTGTTAATCACTGTTAATCTCGTCACTGAAACTGATTTCGTAGAAATTTTCGAAGGTCGTCTTTGTTGTTTCTAAAAGCCTTGACCGAGAGATATGTGGAACAAACGAGAAGTAATGTTAAATTCGTGTAAGACAATAATGTGGAGATTAGTAAGGCCCAGCCAGAAACAGGGGGGATTAGAGAGAGACAACGGAGTAATTGTAAAATTATAGTAGTTGCATACACGTATGAAACGGCGTCAGGAAAGTTTGAACGCACCTATAGAAGTAAAATTTTCAATGCAAGATCCTTATCACGTTGAGTTCCACGTCAGCCATCGGTGGCTGACACTAGACTTTTCGTTTAGACCTCGTCAGCCACCGGTGGCTGATTTTTGCGATACTGCAATAGCTACTTGCTCTCATCGAGACGAAAAGAGAATTTCAACAATGCCTCGCAATTGTTACTCTCAAATTATTCGAATTAGGAGGAAATTGCATAGGACTGTACTTGTAGAACTACGACTTTTATCGGAAACGTTTTTCTTCCAAGCGACGATTGAATCAAAAGAGAAGACCAGTCAAGGAATGAGCGTAGGGATATCAAACCAAGAAATTCAAGAAGTTCGTCATCGTAATAGTTTTTATTGGTTACACGATTTGATCGATTATAAAATGTATCACAAAAAATGTTTAACAAACAAACCTATAGGGACAGCTGGACCGCAGATTCTTTCGTTTCTATTTTTCTCTATTAAGTTCGACTCATCGAATCTGCGGTCTTATCACAATAATAATTATTGACCCTCTAGGGGTATTTAAAATACCTAAAAATCAGTCAGTCTATAAATAATTCCTAGTTAAGATATTTAAACCTTGATCACAGTTTTTATATTTTTTTTCAAGAGATCAGAATATTTTCATGACTAAAATTACAATCTTTATTAATTATTTTAAAAAGAAAATTCAAGCTAACTATTTTTGTATTAAAATTATTATGGAATAGTTTCAGAATCAGTCCTTGGGAGTGAAGTACAGTTGCCTGGTGAGCGTAGACGTGAACGTGGGGATTTGCTTCTTCTTGTCCAACGCTGGATTATTACTGCTGGAAGTGTAATATAACGCGACGGTGCGCGAAGTTTCCGTCAGCATTTTCGTGAGATCGTACTCTCTCCAGTGCGTCCTGATCACTCGGCACAGGCTGTCGATGTACCACGTGCCCGCCTTCAGATCCCGAAAAGCGTAATGATCTACGAGATACAAATTCCTTTTAATCAAGATCATCGTGAATAGTATTTGTTTATTCATTTACCATCGACCGTGCTGTAGCCGAATAGGAAATCCGCGTGAGTAGGAATCGTGTACATAGCGTCGGTCGAATCGGTCGCGTGCCTCCCCATGTTCCCTTGATCTGTGGTCCGTCCTCTGCAAGCCTGGAAGTCGAAACTTCTCATTAATTTTACTCACGTTTAATTGTAAATCGTGTTCGAGTCTGTCTTACCTGTACGAAAAATAGTTTCGGCTTGCCTACTAAAGTTCTGCATTCTAGAAACGGTTTCCAGATAACGGAGAAAGGGTAGGACACGTCCCTTGCGTGTATCGTTCCGTTGAAACCTCCGTGAGACAATATGAAGATGCAGATGCAATCTGCGTCGCTGTGGTCCTCCTCCTTGGACACTAAAAATTAGTTAAACCAGAGATCAATGAACTAGATTTCCTTTCTATCGATAAGAGTCTGTGAATTATAAGCATTTACGTTCTTTTATCTTTTCGCAGAGGTCGAAGAATTTCAAGTTTTCGTAAACGGTTATCTCGAAACGTAGTTCCTTCTCGAAAGCCTTGTATATTTTTTCCACGTCGTACTGAGAACCCTCTCTGTAGTCGCCGTTCCCTTCGTTGAACTCTTGGTGATGGAATATCACGCATCTCCCACGCCTCTTCTTGTTCATCGCGTACAC